AGATGAGAGCTAAACCTTCACCTTCACAGTTAGAAGTCAGGTGGATTAGCAACAGCTACCTACAGGCGCGATTTAAAACGTAGATGGCAGGAGAGATGAGCAAACAGCTCAGAGGTGGAGGCGGCAGCCCCTAGCGAGTAAGTCAAGGATGAGGGGACAGGACAGGAAACAAGGAGATGTTTATTTTGTGTTAGAAATCTTGTGATACTCTTTGAGTTTTTAAACTATACACCTATGTAAACTATGGACCTATGTATGATGAAATAAAAAATTATGAAAAGAACATGAAACAGCACTTAGGGAGGGCTGTATGAATGCAAGCTCGAGAGAGACCAGGCCAGCTGCCAAGCCACGTATAAAGAGGAAACCGCATTCGCTTAAGAGTTCAGTGTGCAAAACAAAACGAGCAAGCGAAGAAACAGAAAATTCGAACCAAACCAACCAACCGACGACAAAAGCCACAATGGTACCTTTACACCCCATTCTCTCTGCCACTGGCATGCAAACCAATTCCAGAAACGTGGGACACCTGGGGACAGAGTACCAAGACCGCCGGGCAAGTCTGGTCTGCCACCCATCTTTATACAGTCCCTGAGCAAAAAAATGGTTTTTCCATTCTTAACTATTTGGGGGGAGGTGGGGAATGGGAGCAATCAAATGAACAATATTCCACGACTTGTGAAAATTCTATGAGATTCAACTTTAGTGTCTCTAAAGTTTTCCCAGCACGCAGGCACGCCACTCACTCGCAGACGGTCTCTGGCCTCCTTTACTCTACGAAGGCTGAGTGGGATACCTGTGGCCGCACGTGGTGCTCCATCACTTTGCACTTCGGCTCAGCTGGGCAGTGACACAGTTATAAGCAACAGAGTCCTCAGTGCCGCGTGCTGTACCACAACATACTATTTTATTATTACCCTGCAGACCCGACGTGTCCAAACGAGAAAAGGAAAACGACTACAAATGTTGGGCTTTTATGGCACAACGGGATGTGGACTGTTCGGTTATGCGAGCACATGGCAAATCACTGGGTTTATTACGCAACCGCACCACGCCTGTGCTGAAGAGGACACTCTACGTTAGCTTTACCAACTACGCAGTCATCACAATATTCCTGACTCACAAGAAAGCCACAGTCAGAAATCCTAGAAAACTTAAAATGGAATGAATCTCGTAACAGGAGAATTTCTTTACACAAATAAAAAATGAAAATGAAGGTTCAAAGTTGGTTTCCAAAGGCACGCCAGCCAAGCGAGGAAGCCAGTGACAGTTTTCCTCGATTCCTGATGAGTTCACAGACATGACTGACAGCTCGGCTGTTTACCTGAGGAGTCTGGAGTGATGAGGAATTAGCCTCTATGATTAGTCCTCATGAAACAAGTACAGGCAGAATGTTTTCAGAGAGGCTGAGGAAAGACGAAATCACTACAACATGCAATAGACTCTGAACGACACGCTTCAACTAATGGTGGTTAAAATTATGTGGAGAAAAAAGGCTAACTCAGCAAACTTACAAAAGCTGTGAAAACTTGAAAGATTTAAAGCTTATCATTTTTCTACTTTCATCAGCAGGTACTTTGGGAGATTTTTAAAATTCTGCATGTGTTACTGAGCCGGTAATGTCAACGTTAACCTGACATTAATGAACTTGACTTATTCTCATGGACTTACCCATTCTTAGTTCCTGACCTGTCCTATCACCCAGCAGCTTGATAGCTCATCAAGGGTTTTTTTTTTTTTTTTTTTTTTTTTCCTGTCCTATCACCCAGCAGCTTGATGGCTCATCAAGGGTTTTTTTTTTTTTTTTTTGCAACTTTTTGAGCTCAAGGCCAAAATTGAAAGTTTTCTGAATAACAGCCCTCAACCACTACTGCCGAACAATGAATGGCTCTGAAATTTGCCTCTGCTGAAGTCCTAGTGTTTCTTAATGAAGTCAACCTAAAATCACAAGGCTAATACAGCTTAAAATTACACCACCGATCTGCAAAACCCACACTACGGTAAAGTAATTTCGACACTAACTTCATCCAGCTCCTAAGTTCAAGCTGCTTCATATACTTCCTATGCTGTCGGAAGTTAAAAGAAAAAGAACCTCATTCCCACGCAAATCTGCAGTGGATGTGTTTTCTGAACTCAAACTAGTTAAACAGCATTTTGCAGTCCTTACTGCAAGTGCGAAGGAAATTTTCCTACTTCAGAATCCATTTAGTTATGCAACTGAGGAGCTTTCGTCCAATCTTCAACTGAAAATTAATCTACATGTTAAGAGGCAAATATCAAGAGAAAAAGCTACTAGAATTCTAAAAATGCCTTCCAAGTGACAAATATACTCAACTAACATCATATGCTTCTGGACGAGTATCAGAATGTGGCAGCACCTACCTGTGTAAAAAGATATTTTCAAAGGCGAAACATGAAAGTCTCATTACGGATCAGCATTAAGAGATTAGATGATTATTTGCAACAGATTCTGAGAGGGGTCCTCTAACTTTAGATACTATTTATGTGAAATGTTATCCCCCTAGAAAAAGAATTCCATTTTTCTCATTAGATCTGTATTACACTCAATTAAAAATTAAACTCAATTATTTCTGTATTTTTGATTGCATCTATAATATCTGTAAAAACTGTTATCTCTCTTGTTATATTACATACCTTCATGATACCCTCTTTCTTGCCTTTTGGTCCACAAAACCTAAAATATTTACTATCTGGGCCTCTGTAACAAAAGTTTAGTCTGACGACCGGCCCCTGGTCTAAAGGACCCTCTACTGACAGTGCTGCTCATCTTTGGGACCCTTCTCTACCACTGGCACTGACTCTAGGACTCCTGGAGACTTCTGGGTAACTTTCCAAGAGAAAGGGTCACCCATTCTAGTGTGGGACAGCTTGCTGATGAGCAGAGGGAAGTAAACAAAGGGAGGAACACAGCCAAAGGTAAGGAATTATTCTGTAAGCTACCAAAGCTCAGAGTCTCTATCAGCAAAGCAAAACAAAATAAAACAAAAACACAGAAAGGAGGAAAAAGAGACGAAGTCTTCAAAATGTTATCCTGAGATATGTCTCTGAAATTTTAACTCCTACCACCAATTAATAATTCTCATTATTTAAAAAGTACTCAAGACATAAATCAGAAGGAAAAACTCCTTGCTCACTGAGTATTTAAAATCTACTTTAAGAGAAGAAATAATCCTAAAATAATTTCATGAGATACTCAGAGTTCACAAAGGAACAAAGGAACTGGAACTATGCATAAAGTTTTGACAAAAAGATAGAAACAAAGCTGAGCCCTGGAAGTCATAAGATCCAATACACGGAACAGCAATGAAGCCACATGATGGAGGTGGCAAAATGTGGAGGGGATCAGAGGGTACAAACTTCCGGTTACAAAGTTTAGTCATGGAATGCAGTGGACAGCATGGTGACCACAGTTAACAACACTGTACAGTATAGCTGAAGGCTGCTAAGAGAGTAGACCTTAAAAGTTCTCAACACAAGAGAAAAAATGTGTGACTGTGTAGTGATGGATGGTAAGCACACTTACTGGTGATCGTTCCGCAACATACACACGTATCGAATTGCTGTGTTGTACACCTGAAACTAATATAATGCTCTATGTCTAAAATAACCTACTGAATTCAAAGTGGAGGTCTCAGTGGGGTCCCAAACCTAGTATCTTTCTTCCCACTACCCCCAGCTCCGAATCGACTGATGACAAAGGCAAAATAACAGATCATGTGCATTACAAACTATCTTCTTCATTATAAATAAACCTGACAGTCAGATCATCGTTCACAACCACATGGTAACGACTTCTTAAATCTGAACACCTGACTGGGGCTGGATTGTCCACTCAGTCTGGAAGGTGGGAAACCGAAGAGGCCTTGGCCACAGGTTAGAACACACCCCTGGTGGAGAAAGGGAAGGGCTGAGCCCCATGACCAAAACAAACCAAAAAACCACATATGAAACAGGTGCCAAGAGGTGAATAAAAACTTTAGAGGGAATTCTACCCGTCAGGATTTATGCAGAATAACACGGAGATGAAGCTGGAGAAGTGAGAAGATTTACGTAGGAATCTGAGTATCAGGGCACGGAGCTGGAACTTCATTTCACAGTGTGAGCACAAGGGGTGGCCAGAGGGCTGAAGAGAGTCGCCCAGCGGGGCTGGAGGAGAGGAGGTCATGTGTAAAGTGGTATTTCTGCCCAGGAAAGGACGGCCTGGGGATTAGAAGCAAAGGTCTGCCACAGCAGAGCTAGGGACTCCTCAGGTGACCTCTGAAAGGCAGATGACTAAAGAGTTTCTGCCCACCTCGTAGAGATAATGGTGGAGCAGATGAAAATGGATTAAGAACGTGAGCACGTCCCCCAAAAGTCCCTACTGGGCTGCTTTCTCTTAAGTGCCAACCAAGCCAAAAGTGAAATATGCAAAGTCGACCTCTGGTCTTTAATAAAAAATTTCAGTTAAGAGTTCCAAAGTGAGAGCAACGAGGACTCAAAAGGAGTCAGCTGGCTGGCTAGAAGCCAGGTGTCCTTTGGCTGGTGTAAAACAAGACAAGCTCTCTCAAATCTCAATCTCAGTCTCTCTCTCACGGGGTGAGGGGAGGAGGAGAGGAGGAGAGGGAGCGAAGGAGCGAGGGAGCGAGCGCGCACGCGTGCACACGCCCCAGGTGGCCTAGAAGCAGCAGCGGGGGCTACTCGCTGTCTTTCTCTGCATGCTGCTTCAGCTTGCTAGGCCTGGCTGGTCCTCGGGGCCCAGCTCAATCCACCCTGGAAACTGGGACTCACATGGGTGCTGCAGACGGTAAGACACGCTGGAGCGAATTACAGAGCCTGCTATTTAACTTCCTAAAAATAGCACAGTGCCACAAAACCATACTGTACCTGGCTCAAAGAGGTGACCTAGCCCCGGTCCACCAAGACTCGAGTCTCACGCCAGAACACTGCTTTCCTTGATGTCACTCATGGAAGGAAACTCCCGATACTCCTAATAGTCTTACCTTTCAAACCAAGTGTAAAAACTAAAAGAAATGTTTTCTTCTCTGTGGCTCCTTGCCCATTACAGGTTATCCTGGCAACAGCTGTCTTCCAATTCACTGCATCAGCAGATTAGCAGGAATCAAGTGGGATACAGGCATGAAACAGAAGCTCTCCTATAAAGAAAAAAGAGCATATAATCACGACATGTTCTCTTCTCGTCCGATGACAGTTGCCATTGAAGATACTGGTTCAAGGTCTTGATTCACACAGAATTATACCTCAGAGGACAGAAAAGTTCTAGTTAATTGAACTTTTTTCTATTTGAAAACAGGAAAAAAGGGCCCTGTCATCCCTCTATCTCAGCTTTAATTCTATACTTAACAATCACCCAGAAAGAGACACCATAATAGCACTACCAGTGAACAAATAACTTTATCTTTATATTATGAAAACATCAATGATATTCTTATCCAACACAGGGCTGACTGCAAAGGCATCATACTTTAAAATACTAAAATTTTAAAAGTGTCTCCCTCTAAATGTCCCCGAGTAGCCCCGTGTAATATTGTTAAACAATCACAATGTTTACTAGGAACTGTGAGCAGAATATTAAATATACCGCAGTACTAGCTGGCTCTACCATCAACCAAGCGCTACACACGAAGACCTATAAACCATCCTCCCAGGCACTTCATTTACCTTAATACTGCTGAGAAAGCCTCAAGCTATGGACAATCACAGTAACCAAAAATCCTGTAGGACCTCAGTCTACAAGGCATCTCAAAAAAAATGCTGTTCATTTAATATCTTTCTTCCATAAAACTGACACTACATTGTGATCTCAGTGTTTTCCCTCAAATAAACAGAAATGATGCTAACTATGCCTTAAAACAAACAAAATGAATCAACAAAAACAGTAACAAACCTAGGTTAAAATGAAAATATTTAATTCTAAGTTAAATGCATTTTGAACATACACCTGAAAAAGTATAACTGGTTGCCTAAACTTTTACTCTAAATCATAACAATAGATCATGTGTCACCATGTGCCGCTCGTTCTTAGACACAAGCTTAACACGTTAGTGTAAAGAGTGCACTGCTAAACGTCACAGGTAATTCTAGTCCCATCACATCGCTGCGTTAGCATCCCAGACTCCTTCAAGAATCGGATATAGTTATGTACTCCACAAAATGTATGTGTACACACACACACACACACACACGCACACACACACGCACACATTTGGCATTTATATCTGAGTGGCTGCAGGACCCTCAAAGCTGATCTGCAATAATTTCTCCCACCAGGCGAGACCACCCACTTCACCCACTTGCTCCCAGCAGAGCTGTGCCAACCTGCCAGCCTGCCTCCCCACACAATGCCACCAGGGGGGCCAGAAGAAAAGACAGCGATGGAACATGCTCACAGCATTTGGAACACAGGTGCTTATTTCGTTGTAAGTGTGCTGAAACATAACCCACTCTTCTGCTCAGTCTTTCCACTTAGCCCACCGAGGGAACAGACTGGCTCTGTACTACTGAGTAAGAAACACGGTTATTCTGCAGTGTGAGAATATGAGAAACAAGATCGAAAGATGGAAAACAGGTGGGAGCGCGCGGCAGTGCAGGGATGGGGCTGCTGGGCGCAGAGCGCGTCCTGAGCGCACAGGGGCATGTCTCTAGAACTGCAGTTTGAAAAAGGAAAAAAAAAAGCTGTTTTGGTTGTTTTGTCCTGTTTTTTTAAGGCACAATCCACAAGGACCAGGAGACACAATGGCAGAGGTACTGGAAGGAAGCAGAAGGAATACTGGCTCAAAGGTATTTAATGAACATTAGATCCCTACATCTCCGTCCTCCCTTCCCCCTCCCACCCTAGCAGACGACGGGAGGAAGCCAAAAAGGACAGTCTCTGAACTGGAGATCCCGGCACCGCCAAAAACCCAAGGACCGTGGCACTTGCAGAATGAAAGCTGAGACTCGGGCACACACACCTGCCCACCCCACGCCAAGCCAGCTCCTTCCGCATCCCAGGGAGGCTGAAGAATGGAGAAGTGTCCTCTGCGTGACCGGCCTCAAGGAAAAGAGACCTGAAAATGCTGACAGCGGGAGGAGCTCAAAGGGAGTGACACACAGTCTGCCCGAAGCCCGTGGGTGCCCAGAGGGTGCCGGCAGTGAAGGGGAAGTTAGCAAGGCATGATTCAGGAAACAAAGAGAGTCTCTGGCGCTGGCCTGGAAAGAACAGCACCCAGACAAACTGTGACACGGGACCACTGAAAAAGAGCTAACGAGGCCAGAGGAGATGTTTGTTTTGGAAGTTAAAATATACAGATGACGATGGAGGCATGAGAATGATGAAAGGTTTTTCCCAAAGAATACATAAGCTCAAAAAGGGGGAATTCTCCCCCGGTATGTAACTTCTAGGAGACTAAGTTTTACATCATAATTAAAGGATGGAAATGAGAAAGGGGCGTGGCTAAAGAGAGTGGAAGCAACGGCACGATGTCGCGGGAAGCGAATGGAGGAACAACATGGGTTTGTTAATAAATATTAAATATTACGTCATGTAATAGGTGTCTCAGTCCGTGCCAGCTGCTGTAACAACGCCACAGCCTGGGTGGCTCATAAACAGGAATCACGCCTCACGGTCCTAAAGGCTGGAAGTCCAAGATCACAGCATGTAGAGGTTCCGTGTCCGCTGAGGCCCCACGTCCCGGTTCAGACGGCCATCCTTTCACTGCGACCTCACGTGCTGGAAAGGGGAGGACTCTTCCCGGGGTCTCTGTGCTACCCGCACAGATCCCATTCGTTAGGGCTCCACCCCCATGACGATCCAATCACTCCCCCAAACGTCTCGCCCCCAACACCACCACGCTGAGGAGGTTTCCATGTGTGAATCCTGGGGGGCCACAAACGTTTGGTCTACGGCAGCCATATCGTTAGATTATTCTCCCTGAGTAAACGGACCGAGAAGGGCCTCCTCAAACAAGGAAATCAAGATTAAAATATATAATTTTATTAACCAATGTCACCCCAATAAACTTAATAAAAGATTTTATAAATATATACTTTTCTATTTATTTTTGCTTGTCATTCCTTAAAAGAGCCATATTTTATTCAGTGGCCACATAACCTAACCCTAGCACAAAGCGTCTCCTCTTTCAACACTACTGACTCTGACTAAGGCCAATGGAGAGAAAGCAAGAACGACATCATCATAAAAATATCAGTCGGGGACAAGACTGGTTAAGCCTAAAACAGCAAAAGAGCACTCTCTCAGCGGGACAGTCTAAATCTGCACCCGCTGAGTCACGGAGCTCGCGGACCCGCTCTGCCAGCGTCATTCCCATTTCACAGCTGAGAAGAGCGAGCACTCACTCCAATAACCCTTACGTGAACCCCGAATTTACTTTTTTTAAAACTCACCTTAAGAAAGAAAAGCAGCAGTCATCTGCTCCTTATGCTGTCATGTGAATTTTTACTATGAATTCCATGATATTCCTCACTAATGCAAATTCACAAGAGGAAGCCAGAGCTACTACATAATATATGAGAAAGCATTTTCTCCTTATAGCATATATCCCATAGACAACTAAAAACACCCTCTCAAATCCAGACAGGTGATATAGCCCAAGGCCTGGACCCACAAAAGCAAGAAACTCTACTTACTACTATCAGGAAGTCCTACAGTGCACCAAGTCGACCAGAGTATCATTTTAATGTGGACCCCCATCCCATTTCTGCAAGCATCCTCACAAATGTCCTCCAAATCACCCAAGTCTGAAGAGATGGGAAGATAATCCATCTCTATGAGATCCTGTTCACCATTTTATCCTTAAGGCCTAGCACACTGTTGATTTTTTAAAAAATGGACAAAATATTGAACACAAAAATCATCAAAACTGAACACGCGTGCACGTGCACACGTACACACACACACACGACCAGCTAATGTCAGAAACAGCACTTTAATACAAGCCATGGCAAGAATATTAAGGCTTCTAAACCACTAATCGAAAGTCTAAGAATGCAAAAAGACTACTGTTTAAAGTATAAAACACTCAAGGTAAATCCATACTACCACCTTTTAAAAACAAAATCATGTATGGAAAGTACTTTAAGTAAAGACCTTGGCACCTGACTGGGTTACATCACCGTCTGGCTATGCAACCTAATGGACACTCGAATCACTGCAATCATGCGTGAAGCGACCCAATCTCACTTGCTATTAAAATGGAGCCAAGTCATAAATTAGTAAATTAGCATCCAAAGTAAAGCCCGGAGAACCAACTCCGCTGGTTAAAACAACATGCAAGATGTAGAGCGAGGCACAGAAGACTTCACGATCTCAATTACCCAGGTACCAAACCGGACCTGGCTGGCCCTGCCCCGGGACGCAGGCACGCTCGATTCGAGGTACAAGCTGAAACTTCCATGATGCAAAGCATAACATCAAAACTTTTTGTAGGGCATTTTGGTAATCGAGTGATCCATATGTGAAATAAAAGTACAGAGGTTGAAAAATGTGTGAGCACCATGAAGGTGAATGAATGTGTTCACTGGAAACTCGTTCCAAGGACAGGATTTTCCACCGGCAAAACAAGATACGTAAGTGATGGAAAAGGAAGAAAACCCTTCATACAGGTTCTTGACTGCTGTCCTAAAGAATGGATGGAATATAAACCAGGCCCAAGCCGCAACCAGCGAGTGGTAGCACTGTCACGAGCTCCGAGGGTTAAGTTCTCCCTACTTTTGAGCACAAACCCAGTTTCCAGTTGACAATTCTAATCTTACTCATAAAGCCTTGGTCTCTACCACCGACACTTTTAAAGTTCTCTAAAAAAAGTTTTTGTAAAGGTTAAGTGCTCTAGACCTGCACTGTCCAATACAGCGTTGTCGGCCACACACAGCACGGTACCTGCAATGTGGCTAGTAAGCCTAAGAAACTGAATTTTCCATTGTATTTATACGATATTATACGAAGTTCTACCAGACAACACTGCTCTGAGTCACGTTAAACACTAAGCGCAGAGTAAATGTTTATGGTCTACACTCTTGAATGAATAAATTCACATCTCTAGACTTCAACCTTTTCAACCAAAAAAATAAAGAGTTCAACCAGATTGTCTCCATGACTGTAAATGAGTTACTGTAGCAGATAAATTATCTTTATTAG